GGACAATATCTGGCTGAGATACAACTAGCCTAATTGAAAATCTGGAATCTGGGGGTGCAAAAAAATCTAAATATTGAGACAATCGCCTTTAAAGTTGTCCAAATGAATCAGAATCAGAATCAGAATGAGCTTTATTGCCAGGTATGTTTACACATACGAGGAATTTGTTTTCGTGACAGAAGCTTCCACAGTGTAACAGAATGACAGTGACAGAACAAAAAACACAGATTTTTGTGAAGTTCTTAGCAATGCATATTACTAATCAAAAATTAAGTTTTGATATATTTACAGTAGGAAATTTACAAAATATCTTAATGGAACATGATCTTTACTTAATATCCTAATGATTTTTGGCATAAAAGAAAAATCGATCATTTTGACCCATACAATGTTTTGTTGGCTATTGCTACAAATATATCCCAGCGACTTAAGACTGGTTTTGTGGTCCAGGGTCATGACATGACATGCTAAAGGGTCCGCATCCTCCTCTTTAGTTTCAAAGTTCTGAGGTAAAATTTCTGGTTCCTAAAACAATGTCTAATCATATTCAAATTTTCCAACAACAATTAATGTGTTTCGATTCCAGTGGAATGCATTTTTTTATTTTTTATTTTTTATCCATTTCCTCTCACCATCATTGGAGGATGTTCTACTGAAGCTTGTCATTGCAGTTACTGCTTTTAGTGTGTATTGTTATATAATGCACTATTTATAATGGCTATTTTGGAATAGGTTATTTTGTTGTATGATTTATTATTGTAGTTTTTTCATTTGGAGAGAGTTGCAATTTGGACTTTATCGTTTGGAATGTATCGTTTGTTTAAATGTTAAACATTTTTCTCATTTACATCTTATCCTAATCCTATGTTATAAGATCAGTGGGGATAGTGAATAGTTACTAACATTTGCTAAAAAAACAAACAAAAAAAACAAAGCTCCTCTGACGTCAGCGCTTTTTTTGATGTAATTTTTCATCGAATCAAAAAAATAACTGCTGTAACATGGCTGAGTTTTTGTACGCAATACATGCACATGTAAACGAATATGTGAATTGGACTTCTGTTTATATAAAACAACTTTCAGACTCATTTTTTCGGACTGACAAAAATGAGTGTTATGTAAACGTAAATGCCACAACAAACACCGCTTCTTGCTACTCACCTTTTTTTAGATACAAGATTTGTAATATAGGCATTTAATTTGGGTATATAATGGATACATATTCACATAGTAGGTAAATATTAATCATATGCATATACCATAACATTTCTATGGAGTTGTTAGGCACTAGTACAGAAACGCACGGTGTTACTATGGTAACGGCTCAGCGCGAAAACATATTCAGGTCTACAAGCTGAAGTAAATCCTTTGTTAATTCATTAATTAACGTTAGCTAACGTGCTGATGATATGATTGTGAACGAACTGATTCATTTAAACGTCGAATCATTCTGTTTTTACGCCGTGAAAAGTTGATCAACAAGGTAACCAAGCCAGAAGAATAATGTCAGACTCTGATGAACGTGAGGTGTTAAAAGCCGAGACAGAGGAAGAGGATGAAGAAGGACAGGGAGAGAGAAATGATACTGAAGGAAAAGAGAATGAGATTTCAGGACAAGAGGATCAGGTAACCCAAATTTACATTAAGAGCCAACAAATAACTTTTAAGTATAATTTATCAAGTAAGGTTAATAAGATTTTGTTTTAAATATGCAGTTTATTTTGTCTTATTTTATATTATATTATATATACAAAATAAACTAAATAATAATAATAATTTATCAGATGTCTGTACTTTCTTCTGCACTGGAAGCTCCTGTAGCCAAGTCAAATTCCTTGTGTGTAAACATACTAGGTAATAAAGCTCTTTCTGACTTCTGACATTGAGATTGTCCATGAATTTGACTTTATTACCAGCTAAAGCCCTGTCCACTAACCCAGGACATGATGGTGAAAAGCTTGTCCTTATTGTGTCGCACAGTGAATGGTCTGTCTCATGCATATGTCAGGCTTGACCTTAAAAGCAAGTAAGTTTGTCTTGAGCATTCTTCTTATACCTATCATTTCCAACATACTACCATTCACATTTAAAACCATTTTAAATTGGTTTTCACCGTACCTTTCTTAACCAGGGGTCTGACAGACCTGGCCTTGCTCAGCTCCTTCATCCATCTGCGCTACTTGGACATCTCCTCCAATCATTTATCAGACTTCTCTCCATTGGCTGATCTCACCCAGCTGCTATGGGTGAAAGGAGATGGCAACCTGCTTCAGAGGTTTGAGGGTCAGCCGTTTGGCCAGCTCACTTACCTACAGTGGCTCAGCATTGCCAACAACCGCCTATTTGATGTTAAAGGTCTTGGAGGTCCAGCACTGGAAACCCTCAATCTCACTGGTTAGTTTGATCCATTTAGTAGATTATTTTACTTTTACAATGAAAGTTAGCTCGTTTTATACTCTAGTACCAACCACACTGGTTTCGTTCAGCAAATCTAGAGTGGTGTATTTAGCTGTATTTAACATATGTGATTCAATAATGTGATTCAAAAAATTATGAGCTGGCATTGTCCACATTTCATTGTAATCTGCTCTAGACAATAACCATGCACCGTTAAGCTTTATCTGCTGCACTAAACTCCAACATTTCATTATATATTTTTAGGTAATGGTATCCAGAGTATGCAGGGCCTGGAATATCACAATCTGACCAATATGGTGACTCTCGAGCTAAGAGGAAATTGTTTGGAAACTACAGATGGCATTTACCTCCCCAATTTACGCCATTTGTATCTGGTATAACTGCTTGTATTTATGTTTATTGTAGATAAAAGTACATGATACTGATTTTCTCCAATAAACTACCATTTTGCACTTTCACCTGACTATTTAGGCTCAGAACAACATAAAGCGATTGGAGGGTTTGGAGAAGCTCCAGCGTCTCAACACTCTTCACCTCAGAGATAACCAGTTGGAAACACTAGATGGACTTAGTCCCAACATGAAATGTCTCCAATATCTTAATGTCAGGTAACAGAAATACTTTAGCACCAGGTTTGGCATTTTCCCAGTCTCCGTGAAATTGAGGAAGCAAATGTGTCTCACATAGAGTTATATTACCACTGTCTGACAACCCTCTTTTTCTTACCTTAAGGGGGAACCTTATATCTTCCATGAGGGCTTTGCGAACTCTAGTGAATGTAGGGCAAACACTGAAGGCCCTTGTGCTCTCGGACAACCCTTTAGCAAAGACTGACGATTACAGGCTGTATGTGATCTCACATCTCTCGAAGCTGGAGAGACTGGACAAGGATCCCATCACGGCTGGAGAGAAGTCTGAGGCCCAGGAGAAGGTGCGGAACCGGTTTATGGCATATTCTGTGGTTAATTATCTTCACTGTTTTCATGTAGTTGTGCCAATAAAGGTCTATCAGACAGTATTTTAATTGTAAAACATCTTTTTTAGGATTTTGAAGATGAATATGCTGAAGATCAAGGGGGTAACTGAACAGGCTGTGCTACATTGAATATACTTGTAAATATAGTTTTATATTCAATAAAGTCTACTATCATAAATAGTTCTGGTTTCATTTCATGCAATATAGTTCCTGATGTGATCTTTATAGCTGTAGCTGCTGGTAAAAATGATACTGTCTAGCACTTATCACTAGATATGATAACAAGGTAGGCCTACATATCACTGTAACCTAATACCTATTGTGAAAATGCATCTTATTGCAACCTAATTTACAAAAGAAAATCAATATGTTTTAAAAAGGAAACAAGAAAGAATGTGAATAGAAATTGGGAGCTTAAACATCCTTTGTTTTTATGTTTTAATTTTCTGCAATGTCACATACACTTTGGTATTCTACCAAAAGAGAACAAGAAATGTCACTTCCTGGTTTGTTCATATCCATCCACATTAAAGGGGCAGAGCCTTTTTCTTTTAACTGTAAGCCTGACAGGAAATTATAGTCCGATTTTTTTTTTATGGAACCACTTACTGAACAAAATATAGAAAGTTTGCATATGTGTTTTATTCAGACTGAACAAAAGCATGCAGCTTGGTGCAGATGTTATTATTTATATGGTCATAAAGATTCTAAAAGCTTATAAATCAATGATATCTTTATAATGATATAGCAGACAACTATATAAATATCTCCCAATAAGATGATGTTTTACGTGTTATGATTAAAGCTCTGTAGTTTTTAAAGTTAAAAACATTAAAAACTACAGAGCTTTGATTATTTTTAATTTTTTCTCTTTTTTTTTTTATAGAAAAATCATGTACATATTTCGATACATTTTAAGTTAAAATGTATCGAAATATGTACATGATTTTTCTAAAAAAAAAAAAAAAAAAAAAATTAAAAATAATCAAAGCTCTGTAGTTTTTAATGTTTGAGAAAGAAAAAAAATCAGGTATACACAATCAAGTAAACCTAAGGAAATGTTCATCTTGAAATATTAATGACAATATAAAAATTAATCATACTTATACTTTATTTTAAAATTAAATCATCTAATGTGCTCCACGACCTAGAGGTGGACATTTTTAGAGTTAGAAATTAGAATACTAAAATTAGGTTTTTCAGTTTTGTTGGTAATTTAGGCCTAGTCCTAGAAATGTGTGTATAAAATACAATACAGTGGGCTGTAAAGGGTTAATCAGTTTTCCGCACTCCTTTCCTCAAGACTGTCACCATGACTCGCCGAATCATTGATTTAATCAGCTACTCCTTCAGTGATTTTACAACAATCGCAAACATTTAATCATTGTAACAGTGTGTGCAAATAAAGATTTTACTTAAGTGTAAAAAACCGAACTCACTTCTGTCTCACCCATAGACTGTATAAAAACGGTCTCACCCTAATCTTATGTATGAGGGATTTATTACAACACACACAGAGTTCTGTCTGTCTGCGGTCTTTGCCCTGATCTGGCAACCTCTCTTCTGCTGTCCTGTGACGAAATGCGTTTCGTCCAATGGTTCGCGTTATCGGATGAGTTGACAGCTGACGTAACGCCTCGCTTAAAAGCTACAGCGCAGCACGTTACCCGCGTCCCACACCGTGCTCGGCTCTGCTGCTTACTGCGTTTATCTTAGCAATAACAGATTAACGTAGTATCAGAAGAGTTTATTTTTCTGAGTTACAGCACTCGCGTTCATTCCATCGCATTTCCCCACACAGTTGAAACATGAGCTATCACAAACCCGACGAGAAAACTCTGCAGGCCCTGAAAGACATCGCCAACAAGCTCAGGATTCACTCCATCAAGGAAACATGCGCCTCAAACTCCGGGTAAAATATTCTGCACTTATTGAAACTCATTCGTGAAGGCTTCCTATGATGGTAAACGACAGATTTGCAACCGTATGCGTACGTTTATCTAATGTGTCGTGCAAATGTTCACTTTAACTTACATTCCTGCATAGCACGTGAACTTGGCGAGGGGGCCGGGCACATTGCTGTTACTTATTAGTTATATATCATTCGACCTTTTTAGCTATTGTAAGCGAGTCATTAGCTTTGCACTGTTACGCGACATATTTGACAGCTTTTTAGCCCATCGTGGCCTCCAAAGCGATGACCAGTGAAAATTGGCTTAGCTCTCATCGCCCCTATAATTAGCACGGGTATGTGGGACTGCACGTGGGATTGCAAAGTGTCAATTTTAAGTAAATTCCAAATAAACCACGGCGTTTAATTTCTGCGTACTATGCGCTGAGCTGCAACTGACTGATTGTGGCGATTCGTAAACTAATTGTTCCTTTGAGTCGGATCTTTTCAGAGCGGCTGATGAACCAGTTCACAGACCCGATTCAGAATTAACAAATCCTGACTCGCTGAACCGATTAAGCTGACGGAAGAGCATTTGGAGTGCGAAAATGTTACAAATAAAACGTTCTGGAAAGGTGTTTGGCTCGACGGCATGTAATAAGTTAAAAGTCCAGATGTAAATTAACTATTATTTTAATGCATATTCTATACGACTTTTAATCTGTTGAATCATAGACAATCACCCTTTCATACGTACTTAACAGTATACACATTTATACATGATAAACAGCGATATATGTTTACATAGAACTTAGTGAAACGAGCACGTAATGCCGCGCCGGGTCAAGGCAACGTGATTACGCTGTGGATCTTTTTTTGAGCCGGTTCTTTGAAACAAACGTCTCGAAAGAACCGGTCCGTGGAAGTGATTCGGACTTCATCACTAATTTATCCTGCGAGCTAGCGGCTTCACGTGGAGGCGTGTAGGTCTCGTGGTATCCGTTGTGCTGTGGGTTAAAGTGCTGTTAGGCACGATGAAGTTACGGGCTGATAGAAATCAAATCAAAAGCGCGCTGTATTCAAGTGTGTGGCGATAAGCAGAGTTCAAATGAAGCTTGTGTGAAAGGAAAGCTGTGCTTTGGCATTGCTCAATCTCTGCGCCGCAGTTCTGTTTTGTGAGGCTGACCACTATATTGCCACAGATGGTCATTTCTTAACATGAACTGAAATCGAAGATGGGAGTTTCTAAACCTGTAGGCAGGGGATATAAAAGCTGCCTTATTAGATGGATTAATCCTATCAAAAAGAAAATGCAAATGCATAGTTTATATAGTGAACACCATGCATCAGAGGGTTAATTTGTTACTCTGCACACGCCCTTGTTGGCATGCAACAATCTTTCATTCATTGAAAATATTGTGAAGGAATTTCCCGGAGTGTTGAAACTTTTACCTGATACTATTTGTTTTATGGTTATGACACTTCCTCTTTTTTTCTGTTCCTTATTTCTATGTGGGTGTTTGATACCAAAGTTTTTTCGTCTTCTCAGGGATAATCACTTGTATACCTAGAGGTTTAAACAAGGAAGTATTGATTGTGACTCAGACTTTTGTCTGTACCTTTTGTAATCTAATCCTTCATTCTAAAACTGATCAGTAGAGATGTGTTTCTTAATCCTTTGTCCATTTTCTTTATTTCAGCCTAAGTGAGTCTCTGTATAGGACAAAGATGGTAATTTATCAACAGTTTTTTTTTAACAGACAGTTTGGTGACCACTGAATTGCATGAGTGATTTAACCACTTTGGGAACAAACTAACAGTTGTACTGCATCCTCAATTTAAGTTAAAGCTTAGTCATCTGTATGTTTTTAACAGCGTGTTTTAACTTAATGTTTTGATGGCTACCAGTGCTGTTTTTTTTTTATTTTTTATTTTTTATTAGCTTGACCATTCTGAATGGAAGCTCATTTTTGCTGCGGAATAAACAAATTTTTTTTAAAGATATGTGACTTTCAGAATTGCATAGAGGAAAAAGTCAGAATTGAGAGATATAAATAATAGTATTGGTAGGTAAATAAGTCAGAATTGTGAGATAGAAAAAAAAAGTAATTTAGTATTACGACTTTTTTTTTTTTTTTAATTCCGGGGGGGAAAACTGGCTTCCATAGTTCTGTGAGTTACGTACTCATTAAAAAAATTATTTCAGTCCTCTTACTTGCCCGCATGTCATTTCAAACCTGTATGACTTTGTTTCTTGCTTGGAACACAAAAGGAGAAATTTAGAATAATGTACAGTCACACTTTTTCATGTAATTAAAATGAATGATTCTTTCAAGCTTAAAATATACAGGTTTGGAGTGACATGAGGGTGAGAAAATGAAAATGTTGATGTTCTGTAACATAAGATTAGTACCTCAAAAAAAGCAAGATGTGTGTCATGGTTTGAGTTTGTACTGTTGTCTCTATATTTGAATATTAGAGGCCACAGCCCCTCTGATCATTATGTCTTATATATGATGTATAGCAGTAGCTGAAGTCATTGATTCTGATAAGGTCTATTACTACTACACCTCAAACCCCAATGATGACAGTAGCAACTTTTGCCTTTTAGTACCGTTTGCAATCACGTTCTAGTTTTGAAGTGAAAGATAACCTGCATGTCTGATTGGTCTTTAACATCCAGCATGTTTGAGCTGATGGTTGATGGCTGGATTGATGATACTGATGTGTTTTCCCATTCACAGGCACCCAACCTCGTGCTGCAGCGCTGCCGAGCTCATGTCAGTGCTGTTCTTCCACACCATGCGCTACAAAGCCAATGATCCCCGCAACCCCAGCAATGACCGCTTCATCTTGTCCAAGGTGGGCTGTCGTTCCATGTTTGGTTATGAGCTTCCTTTCAGTTTTCTCAAAGTGCTTAGAGACTAAATGTATTCCACCCCTCATGCTCCTGTTTTCAGGGCCATGCTGCTCCCATTCTGTATGCTGCCTGGGCAGAGGCTGGATTCATCAAAGAGTCTGAGCTGCTAAACCTGCGCAAGATCGACTCTGACCTGGAGGGTCACCCCACCCCTGTGAGTATACCGCATATACACTAGCTTTCAAACGTTTGGGGTCGGTAAGATTGTTTTAATGTGTTTGGAAGAAGTCTCAAATTCTCACTTAGGATGCATTTATTTAATTAAAGTAATGTTGTGAAATACTACATTTTAATATAACTGCTTTCTAATTTAATGTATTTTAAAATGTAATTTATTGTTGTAATGGCAAAGCTGAATTTTCAGCAGCCACTACTCCAGTCTTCAGTGTCACATGATGCTTCAGAATCATTCTGATATGCTGATTTGGTGCTTAAGAAAGATTTCCAATTATCAATGTTAAAACGGTTGTGATGCTGAATATTTTTGTGGAAACGGTTCATTTGTTTTCAGGAATCTTTGATGGTAGAAAGTTCAACAGAACAGAATTTATTTGAAATGGAAATCTTTAGTAACATTAGTTCTTTTGATTAAATGTATGCATCATTGCTAATTAAATGTATTAATTTCTTAAAGAAAATCTTGCTGACTTGGTGCATCAACTCTTTCACGTAACCATTTATGATGCAATTAACCTCACTTCCCTGTTTATTTCAGAAACTAGCGTTTGTGGATGTGGCGACTGGTTCTCTTGGCCAGGGTTTGGGTGCTGCCTGCGGTATGGCGTACACCGGAAAATACTTTGATAAAGCTAGGTACTTGCATTGGATTCCCTCTGTAAATTAAGTTACTCTAGTTTTTTTTTTTTTTTTTTCAATACTATGATCCATTGTACTACATTGCTTATTTACACCAAATTCAACATCTGATACTAGTATTGCTCCTAAACAAGGTTTTGTTCCCAGACCATAGTAATAATTAAATAATAGTGTAGTACAGGAAATTCCCATTTGATGCTGCTGTAACTGGATGTTTCTGTCTTGTCTCATTGTCTCATTAGCTACCGTGTGTACTGCATGCTGGGAGATGGTGAGTGTTCAGAAGGGTCGGTGTGGGAAGCCATGGCTTTTGCCTCCTATTACAAGCTTGACAATCTGGTGGCCATCCTTGATGTGAACCGCCTGGGCCAGAGTGAGGCAGCACCACTGCAGCACAACATGGACACCTACAAGGAGCGCTGCAAGGCCTTTGGGTGGGTTTAATGAATACTGAGAGTTTCTCTCTTGCTTTGTTTGAGATTGTATGGCTGTGTACTATTTGTGCACAGTTCATATATTCCAGAAACAGATGAATTGTGCAGCACAGCAAACCTAGAGCTCCTAATGACATTTCTTTTTTTTATAAGCTACATTGTTTTTTTGTTTTTGTTTTTCAAAATCTTTCAGACCTATCATTGTATGGTTTCACATACTGTTTAACATTGTAGGCAGTATAGAGTGTATACTAAGCAGTGTGCTAGTATTCTATTTAGAGCCATTCTCTTTGTATTCCATATTTTGTTCAGTCACTGGCATGTAACTAATTTGTTTCTTCAGCTTCAACACTTATGTAGTTGACGGCCATGATGTGGAGGAGCTGTGCAAGGCTTTGTGGCATGCTGAACAAACGAAAGGGAAGCCCACTGCCATCGTAGCCAAAACATTTAAAGGCAAAGGGCTCAAAGGTGGCTTATTATATCCTGTACTGCAAGACCAGCAGCACATGAATGATATCTGTTATGATTGTCCACATTCTCATGGTCTGTCCTGTGTTGTTTTGTTCAGGCATTGAGGATCAGGATAACTGGCATGGGAAGCCTATGCCTAAAGACCGTGCGGAAGAGCTGATTAATGACCTCCTGAGCCAGATCCAGTCACCCAATAAGCCCCTCCACCCTCAGCTGCCCAATGAGGATGTTGCTCTAGCTGACCTCACCCCCATCCGCCTGCTCACAGCTCCAGAATACAAGATAGGAGATAAGGTTATGAACTGCCATTGTTTTTAAATGGTTCTTTTCTTTGAGCAAATTCTTCTGAAGTTCCTCAAAAGAAGGATCTATAAAGCTTCTGCTTTTGTTTGCCCACTCAGATGTCCACCAGGAAGGCTTATGGTGTAGCCCTGAAGAAGATGGGGGATGCCAGCCCTCGTGTGGTGGCCATGGATGGTGACACCAAGAACTCAACCTTCTCTGATATCTTCAAGAAGGCCCATCCTGATCGCTTTATTGAATGCTTCATTGCCGAGCAGAACATGGTGTGTAAATTGATGGGTTTTTTCTCCCCCTTTACAATGATAATTTTTAATTTACAAGACATGATGGCAAAGCAAATGTATATTGGCTGACAGTGTGTGTCATGTATGTCACAAATGAATGGACCTGTAAACTGTGCTTGTAGAGCACTTTGTGATGAGTTGAAGGTGTGGTGCACTATTCATACAGCGAATTGTAAATGCCTTACCTCACCCTGTTAAAATGTTATCTGTTACTATTCACTTTCTGACTAATACTTTTCACTGCCAAGTGCTTTACTCAATAGGACATGATTTCCCACAATGAGAAAGAATTCCTTTCTGCATAAACACGTGGTCATTCAGAGGTCAATATAATCTAGGAAGTAATCTTTATGAAATATATTTTAATTAAAATATAACTTTCAGCAGGAAGTAGTTAGGTTGTTGTATTAAGCAATGTATTGAATATTTTATTGTTACTATAAATGTGTAAATAATACTAATTAATATTTAATGTTTGGGGTAAGATTTTTTTTTTCTTTTAAGGAAAAAAAATACTTTTATTCAGCAAGGGTTTATTAAATGTGTTTTTCCTTCTAAATCCTGATTGACATAAGAATTAATATTACCATTTTATTGTTTCTGGTCAAATAAATGCAGCCTTGGTTAACATAAGACAAAACCAAAAAAAATTCTTATTAGACCTCAAATGTTTGAATGGTAGTACAAGTATATTAGTAATAGTATATACATTGTATTTTATCTAATAAAATGATGTGTTTAATTATGCTGTGTCCAGGTGAGCGTGGCCATTGGTTGTGCTACTCGTGATCGCACAGTTTCATTCGCCAGTACTTTTGCTGCCTTCTTTGCTCGTGCCTACGACCACATCCGTATGGCAGCGATCTCCCAGTCTAACGTCAACCTGGTCGGCTCACACTGTGGTGTTTCCATTGGTAAGGCATCGTGCTGTGAAATACATGGATTCTTGCCATTTTATCTGGGCTTAATTTATAGTCAAATCTCTTCTGAATCTGAAATATCTTTGAAATGTTTCTTAACTTCTGATTTTGTCCAGGTGAGGATGGCCCCTCACAGATGGCACTGGAGGATCTCGCAATGTTCCGCGCTATCCCAACATGCACAGTCTTTTACCCTAGTGATGGAGTATCTACTGAGAGAGCCGTGGAGCTTGCAGCCAATACAAAGGTGTGTTATTGTTTCCACTTGATAGTCTTCTGTAGATACAGTCACCATTATTTTGGCAAGAGAAGTTCATCTATTGGTCTTTGACTCAGTGTTCATGCCGTTTCCTGCTTTCAGGGTATCTGTTTCATCCGTACCAGCCGACCTGACACTGCCGTCATCTATGATGCTGGAGAGAAATTTGAAGTTGGGAAAGCCAAGGTGAGGAGAATCAAAAAAAGACCAGTACACGCTTTTAATTAAATTATTTATAGTTTCTATATTTAGTTACAAACTACAGCAAGGAAGGCTAAAATTAGCATCCATGCTGAACTTTGTCATTTTCATGTAATGTGTTTAGAAATGCAGTGAGCAAATGGGGCCTCCTGTTGGACAGCTGTGAAATGTCTGGTTCATGAAGGTTGTTCTAACCGTTCTGTTTCTGTCCTGTAGGTGGTGCGGCAGTCTGACAAAGATCAGGTGACCATCATTGGAGCTGGAGTAACACTGCATGAGGCACTGGCAGCACATGACCAACTGGCCAAAGAAGGTTTGTTCAGCACCTACTGGCCCTAATAGGACATTACGTTACATTACTACATTTAACAGTACCTCCGTTTCACTTTAGAGAATTAAAACGTAACTTGTGATGAAAGTATACTAAATTTATAATTATTATAGATATTATAAATAATTATTATATATATATTAAAGCTTTGTGTGTCAAAGAAAGGACAAAACTCTTTCTGGAAAAAATCTTTCAAATCATGTTATTGTTTAAAAACCATGAAATATTTATTTTCCCCAGGTGTGAACATTCGGGTTATCGACCCATTCACCATTAAGCCCCTGGATGCCTCCACTATTGTGGCAAATGCTCGTGCCACAGGAGGAAAGGTGATCACTGTAGAGGACCACTACAAAGAGGGTGAGCTGTTATTTATTTATTTTTTTTCAGTGAAATACCATCAAGATTAAAGGGGAAGACGAGCTTTTTTTTTTCCTTTCCTGTTGCAGTTTTTTCCCCGTGTGCCATGAGAGGTATTTTATGTTGGTTCCTCTGCTCTCATTGTAGGTGGTCTGGGCGAGGCCGTCCTGTCTGCATTGGGTGAAGAGCCTGGCATTGTGGTGCACCGGCTGGCTGTGAGCCGTGTGCCTCGGAGCGGCAAACCGCAGGAGCTTCTGGACATGTTTGGCATCAGTGCCAAATCTATCGTTGCCGCCGTCAGGCGTACTTTCGCCAACTGAAACACTTTGAACCACCCTGAACCTACACCCTTCCTCTTTCTCCACTCCTAACCCAGACCCTAAAGACAAGTTCACCACACATCCTTATCATTCCAGCTCACGGATATACCTACCTTAGTGTGTGAAAATACTCTAACTTGTGCACTATAAGTCTATACAGTGTCGGCCATAGCTTTGGAGTGTTTTCACTTTGCATCATCATCAGTTTTAACTTCTTGAAAACTTTAAATGCTGCATTAATAGTAGTTTTTAAAAGCTTGGAAGTGTGGATTAGATCCGAGTGCATTGCATTTGCACTTTTCGGGAATATCATTAAAACCAATGACCATTTCACATTAAGTCATTTCATCCTTTCCTTAGCTTTGGCTCGGTGTGCTTGCTGTAATTATTACAAGCCAGTATGAAAAATAAATTTGATAGCCGTGATGGTGCTTTCAGGGAGTAACAAAGTATATTTCCGTTTTTTTTTTTTTTTTACTGCTGTTGCATAAGCTACTGGACAACCAATTTTGGAAAGTTAGTACATGAACGGTTTGGTTTTGATGATCTGATAAATTGTATCTCATGTTACAACACCCTCACTGTCATTGTGTAAACATAGTTTTCACTGAATTTGATGTAATGTGTTAATAAATTGAACTGCCCATCCAATGTGCCTATATTCTGTGTTGCTGTGTTACCTATCAATGAGTAAGTCAGTTTTAATGTACGCAAATGACCTGTAGCCTTAAGTTAAACCAGATTCATGAATCATGATTTGGTACTTGCTGGTACACAGTCATCCATTTGTGCTACAACGGGGGGGGGGGATGGACAACGAACACAGGTGGATTTTATTGATGGCATTTTGAATGCACAGAGATACCGTGACGAGATCCTGAGGCCCATTGTTGTGCCATTCATCCACGACCATCACCTCATGTTGCAGCATGATAATGCACGGCCCCATGTTGCAAGGATCTGTACACAATTCCTGGAAGCTGAAAACATCCTAGTTCTTGCATGGCCAGCATACTCACCACCCGGACATGTCATACCGGACATGTCACCCATTGAGCATGTTTGGGATACTCTGGATCGGCGTATATGACAGCGTGTTCCAGTTCCTGCCAATATCCAGCAACTACGCACAGCCATTGAAGAGGAGTGGAACAACATTCCACAGGCCACAATCAACAACCTGATCAACTAACAAAAGTGTTGCGTTTATAATTTTGTTCAGTGTATATAAATTACAACGCTTTATTTTTGTCGCTGTTTAGGAGTAGCTACAGTTACATATAGAAAACCCATAGACTGTTTTTAAAGACAAAACCCAATCTGTGTTCATTGAGGCGTTTGAAACATTTTGTTTCATAAACTAAAACAAACAAAAAAATGTGCTAGGGAAAAAACGTGCAACTGTGTACAGAAAATGTTTTTACTTGAGCACAAATGACATTCCTATTCTGAGCAGCAGTACATGACACCATTTACTTATTTCAACAAATTACAGAAATATATGAAATGCAGATAATTTTCTGTGCTTCCCAATCGAGTATGTGGGGAAGTCAGAGGAGATGGTTTGGGTCAGCGAATGAAATGACAGGTTTCTTTTCGCGGTTTTGGATCCGTTTGGCGAAATTTTTACTCGACACCCTTCATGAACTCCAGGAACTCTGTTGGTATTAAAAGTAATGCATGTTTCTGTTGTTGAAATGCGTAATTTTCGAGAAAATAATAATAAATGTGCCATATTTTGAGCGTGAATTTACCGTCGTAATCGATCTTGCCGTCGTTGTTTTTGTCTCCGTCCTTCATGAGCTCCTCGATGTCGTCCTCAGTGATGGCCTCACCTGTCGACTCCAGCATGTTCTTCAGCTCGTCTAAGTCAATGTAACCATCTCCATTCCTTAAAGAGACAACGATAAAACATCTAATATAGAGGGTATATGTGATATACACTACAATATCCTTTGAATACAGTTCATACTTGTCAAACATGCGGAAGACTTCAGCCAGCTCCTCTTCTGATTTTCCTTTGCTCTCCTCTTTCATGCAGCGCACCATCATCACCAAGAACTCATCAAAGTCCACTGTCCCGCTTCCTACAACCCACAGAGACCTTTCAACAATCAAATCCCAATTCATATCATACACTTCACCTGAATCTGTATGATATCTTCAACTAAAATCCAACATACCATCCTCATCTACTTCATCTACCATTTCCTGCAGCTCTTCTTGTGTGGGGTTCTGGCCCAGCATCCTCATCACCTTGCCCAACTCCTTAGTGCTGATACAGCCATCCTCAGCATCCTGAACGAAGATGTCGAACGCAGCGCGAAACTCTGCCAGGTACAGTTAGATAGCAGCACAAAAGTCACACGTCAGTAACATTTGTACGTTTTTAATAGAGTTGACATAGTGTTACATCAATACATGCAGCTATATGTTCAAACTGACAGATTAAAAAGAGTAACTCACCATTTTTTTGTTCTTCTGTCAAGTTCTCTACCTGTTAGGTGAAAAGAGAGCTCAAAACTTTGCTTCACTTGACTTAGAACTAAAAATACAACATGTTGTAAGACTGTACAGCATGTCATTTGACAGAGACTGACCAAGGTCTGTTCTTTTCAGGAATGACAGCTGTCACTCGCGTAATGTTCTTCAGACACCAGACACCCTCTGCCCACTGCCTCAGTGACTATGACCCTTCTCCATATTACAGGATATGTTAAATCTAAACCTGGTTACACTGGTTTTGTTGCTCATTTTTTTACCAAATCCATTTTGATAGTGTATCCTGTGCGCTTAAAATGGCCCCAAACTTCTACTGTCACATCTCCCATTTATTGATTTAACCTTGAGAGCTAGCTAACCCAACAGTGCACAGATTGATTTCTCTGGTTGAGTATTAGTGATAATGCTGAAATCGGTCATTTTCAGAGGAAGGAAATGGTCAAGGACAGGTTAAATTGACAGTTATTAATTTAGCTGACATGTTCATACAAACCAGCTTTTGGGACTCTTTATTTAAGGGTCACTCTCCATTCAGGCACCCTGAAGTGAAATGCAATGCTGCTGATAATTAGTGCAATCATAACTCACCGCTGCTTTATATACATCATCCATGGCTGTCCTGGGTTTAAGGTTTCCTTTTTGAAAATGTCTGTAAACTCCTCAAAGGTAATCCAGCACTGAAGCCCACCCAGCACTCCTCTCTTCACAGCAGACACAGGACGAAGAGTCCCAGGGCCACCTGCCTTGGTCTTATGGCTGGAATGGATGGCCCCAGAAAAGACAAAGCCTTTTGTAACTCCCCTTTCCTATCTAAGAGAGCGAGGGATGGGTGAAAAAGGAAAGGGAGTGGGACAGAAAGGGGTTAGAGATGGCATGGGCTATAAATAGGGGAGGAATGTCAGAGACAACAGGCAGGAGAACTGGAGTTATGACAATAAGTCCTTGGCACTGTTCTCCCTGGCAGCCTGAGCAACAACCCCATATCAAGTTCTAAACTTATGCACCGGTCACCTGCATTTGCCAATCATTGTTGAGCAGCATCACGACTGCATTCTTGTGGCAGGCACTGGTCCCATGTGTGCAGGAAATTACTATAATCAAAGAGGTGAATAGCACTTCTTGTTATTAAATCTTAACCAATGTTTGGGGTTGTTGAAGGTGTGGGTCCTTTAAAGGACTGAACATTAATAATTCCCTTCAAAGTTTTTTCCTTTGGTCAAAGAACCACATTGAAAATGTAGGACTGAATAACCAAAATTCCCAGTACCACTTTTCCAATGTGGATCTTTTTAAAATTTATAGAATATGTTTGCACAAAAAATGTTATGAGGTAGAAAGAATAAGAAATCTTTTAAAAATCAAAGTTCTGCATTTGTTTTTAGGGCTCTTTGTGCAGATGTTCTTGCTTGCATTAAAGCTCAAGATGATCATCAGCTCTTATACAAACTTAGGGCGTTAATTAACTGTAGTTTTTAATTAACTGATTTTTTATTCTAAAATTGAATTTGCATTGAAAATTATAGTTTTAAATTAGAAAAATGCAAAACGAGCAGTTTCACTAGGTCTCAGATGTTTCTATACTATTTATATGCATACATTTTCTCATGTCCGTCGTAAATAAAAGCAATAATCGTACGTTTTTGGCTCAAGTAACTGTTTTAGATGCAATTCTGAATGAAAGATCAGGGGAAACATCTAATTATTCCAGTCCTAAGACTAGTGATATATAAACAGCTGCTTCACTGTGGCATCTCTACACCACAAGTCCATCTTTATTTCTATAATTAAGTCCAGAGAAGGGAACCTAGCGCTCAAGTCAGGTCTTGTGCCTGAGCTGCTTGAAAACATATGACCATGTTTTGTGAATTATTATATCATTCCTGACTGTAAGTCACATGTCAATTTCTGATGTTTTTGTGTTTGGGACAGTTTTATTATTTAGAATCATTTGGAATACTTGTTTCTTTTGTTGTCATTTTTCCTCTTCATCTTTCTCTACACATCAATCAGTATTTAATGTCAAAATCAGACTGCATCAGTATCATGTTAGGCCACAAGTAGCATGAACGTATCAAGCATAGACTAATGCCACCAGTGCTGACATCACAATGATACACTATGCTATTCTGGAGCCCTCTGGCCTAAATTAAGAACCACCAACTAGACATGAACCTTCCCTTAAAAGACTATTAGAGTAAGAGATTACAAAGCACACGCACGTACAATTCATAGACAAAAAGCGGTATCATTTCATTAGTATGAAATCATAAGGATTGGGGTTCATTTAGCTGTCACAGTTTTGCTGTGTTAGGGGAAGCTCCTTTTCTTGCTTTCACTCATTAAGTCTAGCTGACGATCAGATGTATTTTCTCTGCCCATGTTCTCAGCAGCTCTCTCCATGGCCAGCATACAACAACCACATCCACCTCACCCTGAGAAAATGTAACAGCTGAGACACTGAGGTTCAGAGGGCGTGTGTGGGACAATGAGGACAAAGTGGGCTTGGACATCGGACAGGTCAGCAGAACACACTCACACCAGTGACTCACTACAGACAGACATTTGTACGAGGAGCAGCAGTCTGGCAAAGTGGTTTTGCCAGATCGCATAAAATTACAGATTCTGTCTCACTCTTACCCACTGTTTGTTTGGACAGTAATACAGGGTCATCCATTTGAAAGGGACCTTGGTTGTCAAGGGAGAATTTTAGAAAAAGACATTTTAGAAATGCGTAGCATAAACTTCTTTAAAGTTACTTTATATTTTGAGTTACTCTTTAAATAATTATATAATTTGATTTCCCAGTAAATTATTTTTTAAACAAACACAAAACAATATTATAGGCTTTAAAATTCTTTCTTTAAAAGTTACTGAGGGAGATGGACATGTTTGAAAGTAAAGACAATTAAATAGTTTATTATTCAATGGTGCACTCTAAAAAATGCTGGGTTAAATACAACCCAGTGCTGGGCAAAATAGGGACAAACCCAGCAATTGGGTTGTTTTGACCCAGTGGTTGGGTTACTACCCAGAAGGTTGGGTTAAACATTTAACCCAACCGCTGGGGTCAAAACAACCCAATTGCTGGGTTTGTCCCTATTTTACCCAG